ACAACACAGCCCTTCAGGACTATGGCTGCAGGGAGGAGTTGTTGCATTTGTTTAAGGCCAGTTTTAGGGGTTAGAGAAACTGCTCAGTGGTTAAGAACACTGGCTGCTCTTGCAGTGGACCCAGAATCAGTTCCCAGAACCCACATGGTGGCTAACAACCATCCATAACTCCAGTGCCAAGGGATCTGACATCCTCTTCTGGCCTCCAGGGCATTGCATACAAGTGGCACACTTACATACATTCAGGCAACTTACTCTCATACACATAAAATAAAAATAAATAAAAATTTAAAGGCTAATTTCAGAAGTTAAAGGTATCCCAAGCAACCCAAAATAGAGGCATTTTTTTAAATATTTTTATTTATTATTTTTATTTTATGTGTATGAGTGTATTGCCTGCATGTAGGTAAGTGCACCCATGTCGTGCAGTGCCCACAGAGGACAGAAGAGGCTGTCGGATGCCCTGGAACTGGTGTTATGGATAGTTGTTAGCTGCCATGTGGGTGCTAGGATTCGAACCTGGGGCTTCTGCAAGAACAACCAGTGTTCTTAACCTCTAAGCCATCTTTCCAGCCCATAGAGGCATTTTTTAAATCCATGTCTCAGTGAATCCTTCAACATTACACCGATGAAAGACTGAGATTTCCTGTCAAATCTAACTATTCATGCTGAACTTGATTCTCCCAACCTTGAGGCTCGTGGGCCACAAGCCAAATGGTAGTGTGGCACTGGAGCCAGCACCCTTTGCCTGGAGCCAAGGAGGGGACAATTCACCAGACACGTTCCACACATTGTGGAATCTGAAATAGCCTGCATCTGGGTCCTGTAAGTTACAGTCTCGGGGGGTGGGGGTGGGGGAGCTGGTCCACAGCCCCACACCCTCCCCCAGAACAGGAGCATCAGACATAGTCAGCTGCCTCAGATTGGAGTCCATGCTCCTTCCATATGACCTAACACAGCACAACATCTGATTGTGGCTCAGTGGTTTTTCTTTGTTTTAGAAAAGTTCCTCAAAAGCCAATGGACATATTTTTAATGCTCAAGACCAGTCCTAATGAAATTTTGTTCACCAGAACTAGTTCTATCTCTGAATGCAGCTCAAGACCTACCTGACCTGTACTCTGCACAGTGACCCTAGGCCCCAAGACAAATGGAACGTGGCCAGGCCAACTCTTCATTGTGAGTTTCCACACCAGCCTCCTCCTGACTGCATGGTCCATCGTGAGCTCTGTCCTGCACCAGTAACAGTGCTCTTCAGAAGACAGGAGCTGCTCATGACGTGTGGACCAGGCACTATCCCAGACAATGTACAGTTATTAATGCTGTCAGCCATCTTGCAGAATGCTGTCCTTCTTCAGCTAGAGGGCAGGGGAGAGAGAGCTGGCGGGATGCTGCTGCCATTACACACGAGATACTCCTCATAGCTTTGGGAGGCTACAATGTTCAGTTATAAAGTTGTGCTTGCACCCGATCATGGAAGCATCTTGCTACTTGTTCTCATTGATTTCCTTGGAGCCTCAAGCAGCACTTGGGTGTTGAGTAGCTATGAAGCCAACTTTTCCGTCTCTGGTTGGAGATGTGTCCCCAGCCTGTTGCCGTGACATGAAGCATATTCCACCCACAATGGTGATGTTTTCACACTTGAAATAACAGCACAACATGGCGTGTAGAAGCCACAGCCCCCAACTTGCAGGTCTAGCCACCGTCTCTATGATGACAGCTGGGCATCTCTGGACATCAGGCCAGGGAACAGCAAGCCTTCTGTGGCTCCCTCTGCAGGCAGGGCTCCCATATCTCTAGAGCTTGTTCCAGAATCTACTTCCATCTCGCAGTTACCACTGTTCTGCCATGAAAACACCAGCTACATGCTGCAGGGGGCAGAAGAGCGAGCTCCTGGGTCCGGTGCTGCCCATTTGACCGGCTCCTCTTGCTTTAGGCCTTTCATTGATGGAGATCCTTTAACATGTTGGCTTTTGAAATCTTTTAACTCTTGAACAGCAATCAGGCAAAGCCATGGCCTCCCTCACCCTTCTTCCCAAATGAATCCTTGGCCAGCTCTGGGGCCGATGGGAATTCCTTATCCTGGTGGTAGGGATTTCAGTTTAAAAGTAGGCAATCCATTTCTGATGTTCTTAGGCCTGGTACAGTGGACACCGGACAGGCCAGCAGCCAAGCTCTGAGGGTGATTCTGGCACTTGTGGCACCCTAGGAGATGCAGGACTTGGCCTGCCTTCCAGGACTACCCAGTGGTCACAGGTTTGCATAGCTTTGGATCTGGGGACAAGACAAAGAGCTCAGCCCCTGCCCTCTCAGCCAGTGTGTCCTCCTCTGACCTCCAGTCCTCTTGCCCTGCCTCTTGTGGGACTCTGCTGGCCCTGCTCCAGTCAGACCACTGCCCCTGCTCGAAGCAGCCTCTGTTGGTAGATTTCCTATTCCTCTTTGTGAATGCAGCAATGGTGGGAACACACCTCCTCCCTGCTGTCTCCATCACCACATTTTCTCCAGTGGCCAGTGGCTCTTAGTTCAGGCCCTTTTGCTCTCAAGGTGACCTGCATGCCCTCATTATCCTGCCTTCTCTGGTCCCAAAAGCCACATCAGAGGATCTTCCTGTGACAGCCCAGGTCAAGGGCCGCCACGCTCAGGAGAGCCACTGGCAGGTTGGGTGCCCAGAGCAGCCACAGAAGCACGGGATGGAAGAGTAAAATGGCCTCAGACATTTCCAAGTCTCACTTCTGATTAGGTGGTTGAGGGACATGGCGCACTGATAGCTTGTGGCAGAGAAGACTGCATACCCTCCCAGTCCTGATTCTCCAAAGCCTTCTGTGGCTTTCCCTGCTGTGTTCAGCAGGGTACAGGTTTCAGAATATGACCAGCCTGGCCACTCTCTGTGACCTTGGACTTGCTGCTGGGTCTTGATGAGTCTCCACTGCCTCGTCCATGGGAGCAGAGGGTGGGCACAGCCAGGCACTGTTCCCACATTACCATGCTCTGTTAACAGTGTGATCACATGGGATCCAGCTCTGTATGGGACTTGCTGATGATGCCTGACCACTTTGGGGCTGTCCCTGCTCCTGACTCCCACAGCCATCTGTGTTACTCCTACCTGTGGATGGTTCACCTTTTCCATTAAACTGCAATAAACTGAGGTGGGATTCTGTCCGACTCAGCAGCTAGCACCTACAACAGGCGTCTTAAACCCCTTTATGCCTGAGGAATTTTTACACAACCCTAGGCACAGAAAATAGTATACAAATCAAACATTTGCTGATAATAAATCATAAATTTATTTTAAAATTATTCTTTGGTATATGTATAATCATCATTTGTTAAAGACTAAAGAAAATTTGTGTACTTATGAGGTGGACATGGTTATTTTTAAAACATGAGTCTTGGCTGAATATTTGATACAGCAGGACAAAAAACCTCTTCACTGTTTACTAGAGTTAATCAGTGTTTTGAGTTTACCATTGTCAGTGGTACAACATCAATTCTCACAAACGCATAATAGTAAATAGCAGAACATGTCTAGGATAACTTCAGGAATTGTTGGAAATTCTGTCCTAATCCTCAGCCACAATTCCTCTAACAATTTTTAGTGAAACTCATCAATCAAACAGCAGTTCTTTAACATTCTAACACAATGCAAGCCAAATATATATTGATTTGTTATGCATATGCCAAGGAACAACAGTAGGAGAATATTAAACAATCTTTGCTTTCTTGGGGCTGGAGAGATGCTCAGCAGTTAAGAGCACTGACGGCTCTTGCAGAGGACCCGGGTTCAGTTCCCAGCACCCACATGGTGGCTAACAACCATCTGTAACTCCAGTTCTAGGGGGAATCTGATGCCCTCTTCTGACCTCCACGGGCATTGCAGGACATGGGTGCATTTACATACCTGCAGGCAATACACTCATGCACATAAAATAAAAATATTTTTTAAAAATCTTTGCTTTCTGTAATTAATACACTATGATCTGTAAGAGCAAAAAAGTTTGCAGAGAAAACTTGCCGCAATTCATAACACAATAGTCTAGAATCTGAGCCGAGGCATTTCAAGACATGTCTGCTGTTGCCGAATGGCATGATGCAATGGCAGGGCCAGTATAGGTAGGGTATGTATGTTGAGTATTCAGAATGAAGGCCGCGGTGAACTCACATGTACAACACAGGTAGGTGCTGCCAGAACCATCTCAGATCTGTTACGTATTTGGTTTTGAATTAAGCTTTGGATGTTGCACATTCAGAAATCTTTCACTGTTACCATATTTTTCCCGACTCCCTTTTGTCAGTTATGTGACTCTGGGTGGAGTCCTGGCCCATAATTAAAGAAGATGGCACTAAAGGACCTAGCAATGTAGGAAGACAAGAACGTGTGTTAAATCCATAAGGTTGAGGTTTCACAACTCAAAGCATGTTTGCGTGAAGCCAGCATCACCTAGATGGGTGCCGTTCACAGAGCAGGGAGTGCTCGGTGGAGCCACTGTCCAGGAATGCGGCAGAGGAGTGTTTTTGTCTTTTCTTCAGATCTAAGCCTCTCAGTTTTAAAAGGCAAGGAACTGTACATTTAAAAGTCAGTGTTGTCGTAAAAGATCAGTCTAACCTTTCATATTTTAAATAAAAAGAAATCCTAGGCAATCAAGATTGAAGCGCGTGTGCTCCTAACTCTGATTTAGCGTATCCTTTAAGGTGCCACCAAAAAAACCCAATAAAGCCCTGCTTCCTAATGGCAGTCGCTGGCTGCTGGGGACAATCTATGCAGGCATCTTATAACAATTTTTCAGCCCAGCTTTCTTGAATTAATGCTAATGAAAGCTGCCCTGTCCTCATTTCTCCGTATGAGCACTGCAACTGCAGCTGCCTGCCAAGCTGCTGAGGGATGAGCGTAATAATTTTCAATTGGCCTCTTTGCCCAAAGGGAGCCCGATAGCAGGAGATTGGCAGATGCAGCGCGGATTATCTTGTGCACTGAGCTCAGCCCAATTTGTGATTTGTTGCAGGTGCTAAAGAGATTGATATCGCAGCGACCCTGGAGCACTTAAGGGACCAGAGACCAGGCATGGTCCAGACAAAGGTACTGTCAATCAATCCTCAGGGACTTAAAATGTATTAAGGTGCCTCTCCGCATGGTTTTCATGAAAGCAGGGAAGGGGATGAGGACTGACTTACACAAGCCACTCACAATGGCTCCGCTCTGGCCTGTCATCATCCACATCAGTCCCCTGTGGGCAGAGGCACAGGGGATATACTTAGAAGGTTTGTGGTCACCAGTCCCCAGTAGGCAAAGGCACAGGGGCTATACCTGGAGGTTGGTAGTCAACTCTCAGGCATGCATGTCCATGTCCATGTGAGCTAAGATAGAATTCATGGCCTCTCACAGGCCAGACAACCTCTGACATTGCTTTTTGTTTTTGTCTGTTTGTTTTTTTGAGACAGGACCTCACTATATAGCCCTGGAACTTCCTATATAGACCACACTGGCCTCAAACCCACAGAAATCTGCCTGCCTCTGCCTCCCAAGTGCTGAAATTAAAGGTGTGCACCACCACACCCAGCTTAAACATTGGATCTTTATAGAAGTGACAACCCCCAGAAACCTTTCAGAAGAGCATCCCCAAACACCCTCTCTGCCTTCATCTCCAGCATCCACAGTCACCACTGTGCTGTGCTGCGGTCATGGGATCACAGGCCACCAGGCTGGCTGGGTATATGGGGTTCTTGAGCCCCCGAAAAAATAGCTTGTATTTATCACAGCAGGGATGAAAACAAAAGCTTTGTGCTAGCCTCGGGTTCACAGGTCAGAGTATGAGGTTGATGTGACCTCCTATTTCCCTTGGCATTCCAGAAACATCTGTATCTAACAGCAGAACCCATACTTTCTCTCTCACAGGTGGGTTTATATCACAGAACACAGATTCTCATTCTTGGTGTATTCTGACACCGGAGGCCACTGATGTCTACACAAAAATTGTGGTGATGTTAGGGAAAATCCTCTTAGGAAATTACTTCTGTAATTCAAAAGGCTCTCTAGTTATGAAACCTCTTATTCAGGTTGGGGGACTCAGGGCTCCATCGCTGAGCACTTGCTTAGGCAAGGTTACCCTGGGCTACGTCCCCAGCAACGGAGACAGAAAATTCTTCCTGCATAGGGGTACCTCTTCGAGATCAGGCTGCCCAGCATACCCTGGGCCAGGCCTCAATCGCTGGTGCTAAAACTTGGGGGCCCCTGGCTAGTGGTCCAGGTCAACTTAATCCCTCATAAAGCATGGCTAATTGTTAAGCCTCCACTTTCTGCCCAGACATGATGAAGATTTGAACACCCTGGTCCCCTGCAGCAGATGTGCTGAGCCCCATGGGGTTGGACTGAGCAGGTTTGGACTAGATTTTTTTTTTAAGATTTTATTATTTTTATTTTATGTGTGTGAGTGTATTGCCTGCATGTATGTAAGTACACTCGTGTCATACAATGCCCATGGAGGTCAGAATAGGGCAGCGGGTCCCCTGGAACCGGAGTTACAGATGGTTGTTAACTACCATGTGAGTGCTAGGAATCAAACCTGGGTCCTCTGTGAAAGCAGCCAGTGCTCTTAACCACTGAGCTGTCTCTCCAGCCCCTGAAAGATAATTTCTTAAAGTACGTCTCAGAGCCATCCACCCAGCTTTCATTGGGAACGTTAATGGGAGCACTGAGGCAAGATCAACCTAACTCTCCCTCTTAGAGCGTCACAAATCTGTTTTAAGCAGAGCCAGAAGAAATGCCCTTAAAGAATCAGGAATCCTGGGGCTGGAGAATGAGCACTGACTGCTCTTGCAGAGGACCCAGGTTCAATTCCCAGCACCCACATGGCGGCTACAAACAGTCCTTAACTCCAGTTCCACGGGAATCTGATGCCCACTTCTGATGTCCGTAGCATTGCATGACATGGGTGCACTCACATACATGCAGGTAATACACTCGTACATATAAGGTAAAAATAATAAAATATTTTTTAAAAAAAGAATCAGGAATCCTGCAATTGCCTGACCTTCCCAGTAGAAATCTCGGCTACAGGGCCCTTCCTAGGTACAATCCCTTCCTCCCTGGATGCTGGCTCCATTGGATGGCCTCTCCACTCCCTGGTTCTATTTTGCCCCGTGTGATCTCTTTATAAGTTACAGCATATTTTATATTTTCTTGGGTTTTTAAAAAATATTTTATTTTTTACTTTTATTTTATGTGTATTGCTGTATTGCCTGCATGCATCTAAGTGCCTGTGTTGTTCAGTGCCTCGGAGGTCAGAAGAGGGCATTGGAGTCCCCTGGGACTGGAGTTAGGGTGGCTATTAGCCACTGTTTGGGTACTGGGAAGGGTGGCCAGGGCTCTTAACTGCTGAGCCATCTCTCCAGTCCCTATTTTGCTAGGTTTTCATCTGAAATTTTAAATGTATTTTAGACTTTTAGAAGAAATTACAGAAGTCCAGGCATGTTGGGCATGCCTTCAATCCCCACACTGGAGAGAAAGAGACAGGTGGATCTCTGTGAGTTTGAGGTCAACCTGATCTACACAGAGAGTTTCAGGATAGCCAGGGCTATATATAAGACTGTGTCTTTAGAAAACTTTCTTTTTAATTACAGAAGTAATACAGATAACTCCCAGACACCCTTACTCAGCTTCCTCTGCTGGGCAGAGATCAAAACCAGGAGTTAGCATCAGATCACCAGACTGAGCAAGCCACACCCACACCCTTTCAGTGTCGTGAGACCATGCACATGTCTGTCACTGTGCTGCGTGCTCATCACATCCGTCAAGATGGGAGGGTCTCAGAATAGTGGTTGTTCAATGACAAGTGACCTTGGAGGGGAGGACTACCCAGCTGTGAGTGTGGGCACATCCCTGCAGTTGACCTGCTTCCCCGGGCTTTGCAGACTAAGAGTTACCCAGTAGCAGGTGGCTCAGAGCAGGGCAAAGGCTGGTGATGCTGAGAGGTTGCAGACACTTTGCCCAGGAAAGAAGAGTCCTACCTCTGTCTGGAGCCAGATTCTGCTTCAGGGAATTCAAATCAGTCTCTAATGTCTATACCTCTGTGAACTCCACAGACCTCTTCTCCACTAGACATGTCAGAGAGCCCAAATATCAGTTGGCTTTATTGAGGATCTTCACTTACCACTTGGGAAAGGATAGCCAGAAATAGAGGAGCTACCTGACACATCACAGGGAGAAAGCCATGTGGCTTTCACGTGCCAGTACCCTGTTGCCCGAGCCGACCTTCACTGCTTCCAGTTGCAGAGATCCAAAGCAAGCCCCTGGTCCCGGAACCAGCACAAAGCTCAGTGCTGTGTGTTAGAGAGGATGGAGGTGCCAGACCGGTTGTTACTAAGTGGTGTGTATTCACTTCTACACAGTGTTTACAGGGCACAATAAAACCCATACACTCCAACCCAACAGCCAGATCCAAGGTGACAGAAGGCTCCAGGGACCTGGTCCACCCATGGGGCCTGCTCTCTGGAGGATGGTGGTGGGAATTTGTCCCCTCCCTTGGAATGGGTATTTAAAAGTCACCTCCCATTTTCTATATTTTTGCCCAGGGACACCATGTGACACTAAACTTCCCTCTGAAGTTTAGTTTCACAGAACAGCAAACTTGCTTGCACAGAACAGTGCTGTGCTGTCTGAATGCTCTTGGAGAACAGGCCACCAGTAGTCAGTTCTGGTGAGCAGGCTCAGAACCCATCATTTGGATCTGAGCACAGATAAATCTCATTGACCTGTGGGCATGCAGACCGAGGGCCTGGATGGGTTAGAGGACCCCAATAGCACATTCCATCTCTGTTAGAACAAACTGTAGGATGACCACTTTTCCCCCCAGAACTAGGCCAGGCCACATACACAGCAAACGACTAACAAACGTCTTCCCAAACAGTGTGGCTGGAGGAGAAACACTGAGACACACAGGCTTGCCCACCTCTAAGGATGGAGTCAGACAGTACAAGGGTTAAGACAAGAGCCCCTTCATGCCCATGAATCACACCCAAGGTCACCACTCCTGTTCCAGGAAGACACAGAAGGAGCCGGCCTTGAAGGGGGGCAGCGAGGTGTGAGATGAGCTGCAAACAGCACATCCAGGCGGGGTTCATGCTGGTCTGCCTCAGCTATGCCAGTGGTGGACACATCCTCCCCTCCCTGGGACCTGGGAGAGTTGCCATGGTAACCAAGGGCTTTAACACTTTCCTTCCCACAGTGATACTTACTGGGGGTTGGTTTTTGGTTATTAGGAACTGTCCACTATTTTGAAGAGAGGTAACAAGACAGAAAGACACTGGGTCTTATCAGCTCCCTTTTAAGAGCCTGCTGAGGGGGCAGCCCACAAGGGGGTGCAGGTACCCCTGGGTTGTAGGTGCTGGGATCACAGGAGTTCACTGAGGTTCTGCTTACTATAAGGAATGATGGTTGTCATAGCAACAGCTCAAGAAGGATTCAGATGCAGGCACAGTCCAACTGAGCAGCCACACCCAGCCCTGTTGCCTCCAGGCCACCACAGCCAGCCTGGCCTCAGCCCCTGCAGCACATAGCATCCAATGATGTGGCTGCTCCGTGGTGCCAGGCCCTCCTGTCTGACCAGCTCACCTGGCCCACACGGATGTCCCTCCACATCACAGGCCAACCTGACAAGGGGCACTCCATTCTCTCCCTGCCCAGAGAAGACATGGGGTGGTAACCAGATACCCCTAGCTTCCCCCAGGGGTACAGCTAAACTGGAAAGACTATAGATCTGCTTCCTGCAAACAGAATCTGAGCTATTGTAAAAACTACCTCCTTGCTCAGAACAACTGGCTGTTCTTTCTGTTGCCCAGCCAGCACCAGGAGCCTGTGACCCTTCCTGCTCTGACAACTCAAGTGTGTTTTATTCCCCAGCCGCAGCTCCCACTGATTTTTTGGTTATTGTTTTCCTGAAGATAAGTTTCTGCCACAAATGTACTTCCTTTCTGGGTCCTGTCCCAATTCCTGGAGTCAGGGGATGCTACTCCAAATGTGGCCATAGCCATGGGTAGTGAATGCACACCAGTGATCCCAGCATTCAGAAGGCAAAAGTCAGGAAGATCTAGAGTCCAAAGGCAGCCCCATCTACAGAGTGAGTTGGATCAGCTGGGCTGCAAAGTGAGACACTATCTCAAAAAAAAAAAAAACCAAAAGGCCACAATCCAGTGGATCTGCATGTGGTGACACTGTGATGGAGCAGGGGCTGGTGCCAGATGTGGCCACTGAGGGTCCACATGCCGTGGTAGGGTAGAGGCTGGTGCCATGCTAGTGCCAGCACCTCAGTGAGAGTAAATGTGGACAGAGCTGTTCTCACCATGTGACTGGTGACTGTCAGCTAGGGAACAGCATGCACGGTTCATGGTGTCTGTGACTTCCCCAGGGGGATCAGCCAGCACCTGCACTCAGTGTCTGAAGGTACACATGCAGAGGCTGGGGAGCAGGAAGATGGCCAGCCACCGTCTGCCCTTGAAAGGAAAAAGGCTGACTCTCTGTCTAGCTGTCATCCTTAGAAGAGCAAATAGTCCTCATCCAAAATGTTCGTGTGTCTGCCTGTTGGCCAGACAGGGGGAGTGAGTGAAGGACTGTCAGTTCCTCCCAGACCCCCCCACCTCAACTTCATCACTTTTCTGTAATAACCCACTGGGTCCAATTTGTAACTCATGGGTGTGGGGCCATCCACTGGAGCATGATCAATCTACCAGGAGTCACAACCTTAAAGAAAACTGACTCTCCTTCCCCCAGAAACCATCACCTGTCCATAGCGCCTCACTTAGGGGTGGAGGATCATGAACCCCTCCCCGCTCCATGCTGGAGTGCTGACCGGCTTGATCCTGTGCAGGTCATATGTAGGCAACCACAGCTGCTGTGAGTTCATGCAACGGTCCTGTCATGTCCAGGCGTGGTTTTGTTCTAGTCTTCCTTGGCTTCTGACTTTTAATCTCCCCACTCCCTCTCCCGAGATGGTTCCTGAGCCTTGGGAAGGGGGCATGATACAGATGCCTGTGACTCAAGGAATATGCCCAGCTGACATCTGCACACATCCCTCACTCCACCCATTGAGGCAGTTGACCATGGTGAGGAATTGCAGAGACAGGGCGTATGGAGCCTCACCTGGTGTCTCCTGTCCCCATTGTGACTGTGGCAGTGCCTCCCAGCAGTGAGAACCAGGCTTTCCATTCCCCAAGTCCAAGGAACACAATCCAGGTCTATCACAGCAGCCAACGAGTTCTCACTTCCCCTGGGGAAACCTGTGGCCTTTCTCTCTGTTTCCTACACAGTGTCTTCCAGGAATGAGAAGGGAACTTCTCTCACTCACTGTCTGCTCTGGCTTCTTGTCCTCTCTGCAGGAGCAGTTTGAGTTTGCGCTGACGGCCGTGGCTGAGGAGGTGAACGCCATCCTGAAGGCCCTTCCCCAGTAAGCGCTGGAGCTGGGGCTGGCAGGACCTCAGTTCATGCTACCAGGACAGTGCCAGAACATCAGTCCTGCATCTTCTCCATAGTAACAGGGTCCTTCAGGCTCCATAATCAATACAGGTGGCTAGTTACGTGTACTTTCGTTTAACCAAATAGCAGCTATGTTGAAGCACTCAGGAGGCGGGGGAAGAGCCAGCTCATCTATTTCATGTTCTTGGAAAAACTTCCTTTCCCTAAAGCACACATTCCCCTTGTTGCAGTAATTAGAGCCTTGCCACGGCCTCTGTGCAAGGGCTTGCATCTGTAACTTGCTGGAGGGTAGGTTAGGAAAACCGGATGGGCCAGGACAAGCCAGGAAGGTGCCTACTGGGGCCACCAGGTTATAGGAGTCACACTTGACATTTGCCTGTAAGGCAATCTGTAATCAGGAGAAACCCCTGGGGCAAGAGGTCAGTGGCCTGCAGCTCTGGGACAGATGACAAGAACAGTATTATGGGGACTCTGTCGTGGATTCCAGAGAGAAAGATGGGTTTCTCAGGGACAGACATTATCCCTTGGGGCTGCATCTGTTCCAGAGGCCGGGATTCCAGGTGATGACCTCATCCTTGCGAAGTTATAGATGAGCCCAGCCCTGAGGCACATTTTTAATGTTGATACTGGTTTCTGCATTGCAAGAACAGGTGCTGTTATAAGCTTGAAGTAACAAAACCAGAGGAGTATGGTACTTAACAAGCCCTCAGAGTCCCCAGGAACACTCCCCGCCCAGTATCAGTGGTCCCTCAGGGGAACACCCCAACACTGCAGGTCCCAGAAAAGCCCTAGATGTTCCTGCTTCTGGAATGAAAGCTGGGGAACCCCAAAGACTTTGCTCTGCCCCTCTCAACACCGGGAAGAGAGCGAGACCTGATGCCTTCTGTCCCCGCCCAGACCACTTAGTGAAACGTGCTCACCAGATGATACCATTGTTCGAAACATTTGAGCATTATACTTACCACCTCCCCCAGACATGGGAAAACTCTCCATTAAGTAGGGCAAAAGCATCCAGGAAGGTCAAAGATAGCGCTGTAAGCTCTGGTTCGTTTGTAGGATGGAGCAGGAAAAGGCATCTCTGCCATATCCTCTTCACCCTTAAGCCCCGACACTTAGCGTTGAATTTGGTAAGGAAAGGGGCTGCCGACCAGGAAGAGCCGCCTCAGTCTCTGTGTCTCTGTTTCTTATCTGCTTAACATCTCCGACATCTCTCCTCCAAAGTCCTTTCTCCCTATCTAGAATTTAAACAACAATTAATAGAAATGAATTTACCTGAATATAGAAAGCATATACCTACGTGTAATTTCGAGCTTATGTTTAAAAGAAATCTTGGGTGTGAGATACAGATATATTTAATTGTGTCATATTAAACGTTCTGATTTCACTTTTGATGGTCTTTTATTTGGGAAGGTGGGAGTGGATTTTGCCCCTTTGTGTATCTTTTTAGTTTCCTGAAGGTATTATATTGTTAAATCCAAGTGTGGCCCCTTCCCAGGAGGCAGAAGGGTCCCATGGCCATGGCTCCCATACTAGACGTACACCCAGGGTTCTGTGCTGCTCCAGGCAGGGCTGAAGAGATGGTTCAGCAGTTAAGAGCACGTGCTGCTCTTCCAGAGGCCCTGAGTTGAGTTCCTGGCACCCACTTGCTATCCTACAACCTACCTGTAACTCTAGTTCTAGGGCATCCAACACCCTCTTCTGGCCTCCTCAAGCACCTGCACACACACACCCACACACAGACACATTCATATACATACACACAGACACCCACACACAGACACATACCCACACACAGACATTCACACACATGGACACATTCACACACACAGATACATTCACACACACACATACCCACACACAGACACATACCCACACAGACACATACCCACACAAAAACACCCACACACAGACACATACCCACACAGACACATACCCGCACACAGACACATACCTACACGCACACATACCCACACAGACACATTCACACACATCTTAAAAGTAGCTGAGCGAGTGTTCGCAAACCTCACCAGGACAGGTGTGCTCTGTGCTCTGCTTACAGCACCCGAGTGAGCTCACATGCGCCCACCAGAGCTCTATCCCCCTGAGACTGACCCTTCTGTTCCTGTCCACATTGGCCACGTCAGCCTCTCACATGACAAGAGCGCACACCGGGATGGCTCAAGCCCCAGTGGTAGGGGCAGTCGTAGCTGGAGCAGGATTTGGCATCCTTTCTTACTATTCTTTGGGAATAGTAAGTTGTTTTTTCAGTTAGTTAAATGCAAAATAATGAGTTTCATTATGACACACGCGTTTCCACCTCATTTTCTCACATGGAGAGCAAATGCGTGTGTCTTTCTGGGCCTGGCTTGTTTTGTGTGACATAATCTCAGTTACATCTGTTTTCCTGCCAGTTACATCATTTCATTCTTTATGGCTAAATAACTCCCATTGTGTTCATAGACCACGTTTTCTTTATCCGTTCATCTGTTGATGGACATCTAGACTGGTTCTGTGTTACAGCTGTTGTGAAGACTGCAACAGTGAGCATGGACCACTGTGGTGTGCTGACAGTCCTCAGGTAAGAGTCGAGAGGCGGTGTGGCTGGATGTTTTAGCAGTTCTACTTTAGGGTTTTTTTGAGGAACCGCCATACCAATTTCCACAGCAGCTACGCTAGTTTACCCAGCAGCATATATAAGGTTCCTCTCCCACTCCTCTGCCACCGTTCTGTCTCATTTTATTTTTTAAAATGTATTTATTTTATTTCTGTATAAGCGTGTTTGCCTGCATGAGTTTATGTGCACCATGTGCATGTAGGAACCCACAGAGGCCCGAAGGGAGCCTCAGATCCCCTGGAGCTAGAATTTCATGTGGTTGCAAACTGCCTTGTGGGTGCTGGGAACAGAACCTAGGTCCTCTGAGAGCGTCAGTGCTCTTAGTTGGGCATGGTGGCACACACCTTTAATCCCAGCATTTGGGAGACAGAGGCAGTTGGATCTCTGTGAGATCATGAGATCAAAGCCAGCATCATCTACATAGTGAAAGTACTAGGAGGGCTAGGATTGCATTACAGGGGCACCCTGTCTCAAAAGACCAAAAAAGAATAAAGAAAAGAAAGAAATTAAGGGGCTAGAGAGATGGCTCAGTGGTTAAGAGCGCTAGCTGCCCTGGCAGTAGACCCAGGTTTGATTCCAGCACCCACATGGCAGCTAACATCTGTAACTTAAGTTCCAGGAGAAATCAGTGCCCTCTTCTGACCTCCACAGTCATTGCGTGACACAGGTACACTTACATGCATGCAGGCAATACACACGTGCACATAAAATAATAAATACAACTATTTTTTAAAGAGCAGCCAGTGCTGTTAACCACTGAGCCATCTCTCCAGCCCCACATGTCTTCTTGACAATGCCATTCTTATGGGTGAGAAGGAAGCGCCATGTGATTTTAATGTGCATTTCTGATGGCTCAGGATGTTGAATATTTTTCAAATCTTCATCAGCCATCTGTGTCTTTTGAGAACTGTCTGTTCATCTGCCCATTCATTGGTTAGATGACTTTGGTTTCAGGTATTTAAGTTTTTAGTTCCCTGTAGACTGTATATATTAATCCCCTGTCAGATAATGGTTGGCAGCAGCCGTCGGCCTTTCTACTGGCCCTTTACTCTGCTACTAGTTTCATATAATGCCTTTTGTCCCATTTGTCGATTCTTGGGATTATTTCCTGAGCCAGTGGAGTCCTATTCGGAAAGTCTTGCCTATGCCTGCATCTTGAAGTATTTTTCCTAGCAGTTTGAAAGTTCAGAGCCTACGTTAAGTCATTTTGAACTGATTTTTTTGTTTTTTGTGGGTTTTTTTTTTTTTTTTTGGCTTTTTGAGACAGGGTCTCCTTGTAGCCCCAGCTGTCCTGGAACTCTATGTAGACCAGGCTGGCCTTGAACTCATGGAGATCTGCCTGCCTCTGCTTCCCAGGTGCTGAGATTAAAGGCGTGCGCCACCACGCCTGGCCATTTTGAACTGATTTCATGCAGGATGAGAGCTACAGATCTGGTTTCATTCATCTCCTTGTGAAATCCAGTTTCCCAGTGACACTGATTGAAGAGATTGTTTTTCAATGTATGTGTCTGACACCTTTGCCAAAACCTAGGTGACTTCAGCCTGTGCGTTTACATCTGGATCTCCTGTTCTACCCCATTGGACTGCATGTCTTTTTTGTGTGTCAGCACCATGTTAATTTTGTTACTATGGCTCAGTAGTACAATTTCTTTTCTGTGTGTCTGTGTAGTTTTTTTATCATTTTTAAAAAATTTTAATAACTACATGATTAGAAGAAGCATTTCATTACAGCTTTAACACACTCCAGAGCAAGAGTACATCTCTTTCATGAGTGGCTCTAAGGTTCTAGGTTCACAGTTGAATTAATACAGTTATACAAAATTGAACTCAGTATAAGCCCTGTAACACATAAAATTGAATGAGTCTTTAGCCTTTAAAAAAGATCTCCTTTTCATTTTAGAATATATTGTTCCTTGCAGAAAGACATTGTTTTTGCTACTAACACTGAGATGTTGGCACATGCATCTCTAATCTGAATGTATCTGATTACTACTAGTCATAATTGGTTGCACTTGGATCCTTGGCGCAAATTTCATGATTTCATTGTTCTTTACTGCTGAGTAGAACTCCATTGTGTAAATGTACCACATTTTCGTTATCTACTCATCAGTTGAGGGACACAGTTTGCTTCCATCTCTTAGCTACTGTGAAAAGAGTAGCAGCAAACATGA